TGGGTGCAACATAATTTTTCCGATCGAAATTATGTTGCACCCAAATTCGGCGTGTTACCTAACACAACTAAATACGAACGCAAGTAGAGCATACAGAAAACGTTAAGTCAGGTCAGTTAACCCTGAGAGATCCCTTTGCAGGCTTTTACACGTAGGGCTATCGAGGGTGATCGGAAGTGTCTTTATCACGAGTATGCTGCTCATTGAAGCTTATAACTTTCACCTTTATCATTCTCACCACTCGAAGCCGGAAGCCCTTTGTCTCTTTGTATCTTCTCTCGTCTTTCTCTTCGTTTGCTCACCGACGAAGCGATACGTAAATCATATTTTTAAAATTGTTATTCCCGAAAATATTTTCTCCTTGTTCGTCTAAATGATTATCTTGTTTTATGTGTGTTTATAGTTTTTTATCTATTTTGTTCACATATTCTTGACAAATGTAATATTAATATTTATTAAAAAGAGATTCAATTTCTCAATCTAAGTAAGTAAAAAATGAAACATTGTTAAATTTTTTATAAATTTCTAACTAGCCTATCATAAGGAAAAGCAAGAAAATTAAACAAAAACGTTTTTCACTACAATATATGAACCATTAACATTATTATTTATATTACACCTTATTTGGTCCTTTTGTCTTTTAATTTTGCTTTTGCAAAGTGAGGAGCCGATTTATATTCGTGTTAAGAAAATTAAAAAATATTAATTTATTTATTGTATTTTTTTATAGTAAAATAAAGAAAGTCTACTGCACAAGTAATAAGTGAACACACTAATAAATAAGTAACTAATTGTATTTGGATAATGTTACATGGAAAGAAAGATTTTGCTGAAGTATCTAAAAATTCAGCTAGGATACCGATCTGAAAATAATTTTATTTTCAAACGTCAAAATAATTACGTCGAGATCTATATCTAGCTAAATTTTTAGATATTTTAGCAAAGTTGTTCTTTCCGTGTAAAATGAAAAAGTGAAAAGCAAGGATTGCACCGCGCGACAGGTAGATTGTTCAACACGATTCTTTTTCTCGCGATCGACATTACCCATTTTCCAGGCATCAGGGCTGTAAGATCGATTCTCATTCCGATGGCGTAATATTCGTCAGGCACGAGAGAACCGGTGCGGGCGGTCGCGTTACACGGCACAGCGCCGGCTTTCGTTTACGCGAAAACTAGCTGCCCCTCGTCTCATTTTCAGTGCTCAGGTGGCAGGGGGAGACGGAGGATACTCGAAAAGTTTAAGGCTCGTAATAAATGGCTCTCGGCGCCCCTCATCCGCCGGGGCCCGGCGCGCCCGGATATCATTAATTAACAGTAATTAACGCGCACGCCGGCCCTTCTCGGCGAAGTTTCCGCCGACAGTCGCGCGTCTTGTCGATGAGGGATGAAATCCGCACGCGAACTGTTCCGACGAATTTGGTGAACTATGTATCGAGGAATATATCGTCGATGAATCCAAGTCATCTATAACGGCTGGAACCGGAAAGAATACATATTTCTTCTTAACATCCGTTATAATCTATCGCGTTCAGTTAAAATAACGCGCCATATTTCACGAATTTGACGCGAGGCGAGTTACCAGAGTCGCAGGAAAATTATTATGTATGTACAAGTGAAAGTTTACTTAAATATAAAAATACCTTCCACGCTCGCGATCAATGTCAATGAGAAATAATAGGCACGGCAGGTATCGTCCTGTTAAAGTAAGCTAAACAACGAGATGGTATTCTGAATGTCGACAAGATTGGACATCATTGATTAGCGATAATGCAATATGGGACATTAATTTTCATTAACTATCGGATATCGAATTTTGTTACCATGTTGTGCGGCCCTCGAATATTCTCGAAGGAGTCTACACCGCATTGATTTTCCCTTGAGAAATCTAGTGTCCTCAATGAGGAGATAACAGCAAGTTTGGAGAGACTTGCGAGTTGTAGATCAAACGAAAATATACAATACATAATTACCCTCAACACTGTTAAATGTATGATGTCAAATTATACACAATTTAAGTTATTTTTAATCATTTCACAGAACGCTTCTGCTTCTACTCGATATGTTGTTAATTTAATTAAAACAATGATATTAAATAATTAACTCAAGAAAATATATTAAATTTGACTCAAATTTAGTTTATTATTTATTAGCTGCCTCTCTGAGTGCGTTAATATGGACTAATGTTGTTTATTTTAAAACTTATACACAAATGGATTGAACAAAATGTTATTTAACTCAAGAGATTGGGATACCATTACTCCTTTGATATTTAATAATAAAAACTGCGCTTTTTATATTAACTATAATTATATTGTAAATTCTAAGATACTTATTATATTATTGCAACTTTATCCGGTTATTATTAATTTATTTTTAATAATTAAAATTTAAATTAAAACGCAAAAAATTGTTCGTTTTCTTAAAAATATATTCAATACCTATATCTTCTTTTGCACCAAGATTGTGAAAAGCGATAGCTCTCTCTTTCGTAGAAAATTTCTCCTAATTTTAAGTAATTTATGTTAACGAAGTTAATTAAGCGTAACAAGCTGGTTTCTAGGTGAGGATTAAATTAATTTTAAATAATTTGCTGTCATGTAATAAATTCTACATTCATCTTCCTCACCTTTAAACTCATCTATGAAAAAATCATGAAATGCGCATCGTCAATAATGTCGAACCGTTGCGTGACGCGAACGATATATTTATCGTTGCGATGCAGAAAGAAAATGCACGGCGTTGTACATTTCGCGTAATATTCCTCGCAATTTTTACATCCTTCTTGCGGCATTAGCCGAGAAAGGAAATTCGCGAACGAGAACCTCGGCAATTGGTGAACGCCCAATCCGACACGACGACGTAACGATTCTTGTGAATTTTATCGTAACTGCTCTTTGAACTCGAGTAAACGTTTTCTCGAGAACGAGGCCAGATATCGTGTAATACAATATTTCACTTGTCTGCAAATTTTCACTGCAACGTAATTTATGCCATCATAATGGCCGTTGTTCCGATAAGGAGGTCACATCTTCAGATCAAGGAAAATGAACGACGAAACTTTTTTCCGAAAAAAACAGGGAGTACACCAACGTAGTCGGTCGTAAACAGCTTACAAAGTCGGACAACCGTACAATTCTTTTAGGGACTATTATTCTTAGAAGAAGACAGAACCTACGATTAAGATACGAGAAAAATAATGGAATTGTAAATAAAAAAAGGATTGAATTAAATTATCATTAAGAAAAACGGAAGAGAAATGAGAGATAAATATAAGGCACGGTGTAGTAGACAGAAAAGAAAAATAGAAGATTTCTGCTTTAAAATAATGGATGCTAAAATATTATAAAACAACGAAAGCGTTATAATTTATTTTATAATTCATTTTGGCATCGCTATGTAACACCCGTTCAACATTAATCTGCAGAAATTCTTCGTATATTGTCTGCTAAAGAAAATTTGGCCTACCTATCTTATATGTTGTTATTTCCTACAGATCATACATGTGATCGAAATCTGTGAAGACTTGTGCGGTCCATGATGTAAGAATACAAAATGTTTTTCGTCTCTTTTTCAAGACTGGCTCAATTTTCACTCTTTATAGTGAGATTTCATTCCAAAGAATTGAGAGAGTAGTAATTTACTAAAACGCAAGTAATCCAGCAGGAAAAAAAGCATCGTGTGCAGCAGACTTTACATCACGGTGTGGCGTAGATTCGTGGATCGCGTCGCGTTGAAGAATGCAACAAGAGAGAAAGAGAGAGACTGTAAGGGAAAAGGAAAGAGAAACAAACACGTCTAGGGAAGCAACGAGTGTTTCACCTGGTAAACGTGACCGTGTGAGGCCGCGATCGCCGTTAAGCCGATTTACGAGCGCACGTGCGAGAATTCCACGAGCGCAACGGGAAGGATAATGACGTTAAGAGGATCCATAGGAGCTTCCGCACTCACGTGTCGTGTATGTGAGATCTCATGTTCGTCTTCGTCGTTGCACATCATGTTCGCGTGCGTCATGCCGTTTCGCGCCGCGACGCGCTGGCGACACGTTTCGAAGAGCGATGTATCGTGAGATGTATCCACGACAAGAATCGACGCGTCGCGATTCTCGCGAATAACGTCGTCGCCAATTCATACAAAATCCTGTTTTCCGGTTATTGATCAATAACGAAACCGGTGAATTTCATGATAATTTATAATCAATATCTCAGCTGAAATTTGGTTGTATTGAGATTGAAAGCAGTGATTTGGTGATTATTATAATAATGTGTTAATTCTGACGGTGTAGACTTATTCTTTTTGTCTCAACATCATGTTGTATATGAATTTTAATTTATAAAACTCACTTTAGAACATCTATAATTTATATCAGCAGTACGCGTTATATGGCTCTTTGGTCAATCACGAATCGTGAACTGTCAGCTCTCTTGATCAGCTACTAAACAAATTTTCGGTATAAGTCGTGCGACCGAGATGCATCGCCAGGATGTACGCATATATTATTCATCCTATATCTTATATGCATTTTACATCCTAATTAATTAAATTTATTCTATATAATTCTTCGATTACTTTATCTATTACATAATATATAATATTATAAATAGAATATCATAAATTCTAAAAAAATTATAAATCATCTAAAATGAGCTTAAAAAATCAATAACACATTTATGAAATATGTAATTCTTAAAAATAATTAAAAATATTTTTCAAAGGAGAGAGTAAGTCACTCTAGTGCTATTTATTAGAATATTGGAAAAACATTATTATATGATTAATGTTATCGATGAACATTACTCATGGCTGACAAGAATCGGTATAATTATTCTCATGTAATAATTGATATATATTCTCAACATTTTATATATAATTATGGAAAAAATATTTATATAAACAATTGAAAAAAGATATAAGAAAAGTCTTGAGAAACGAATGAGATTATATGTCCATAGTTACAATTTTATAGAAATCCTTTTAAAGTTGTATGTATGGATCTGTTTCAGTTATTTGGAGATATATAACGAGAGGGTAAGGGATCTCCTGAAGCCGTCGACGAGCACGAGCGGTCTCAGAGTTCGAGAACATCCTCGACTAGGACCTTACGTTCAAGGTACTCCGCTCGTTTACTGTGAAACGTCGCGTATACCGAGGACGTCGGCTAAAATTTTCGCTCTACGACCTTCTTTCTTCACGTTACGATTCTCTCATTCGCTATATTATTCACTATATTATTAAAGTCTAATATAAAAATAAATGCGGTAAGTACATTAAATATTATGTCAAATATCGCATTAAATATATTATTAATTCCATGAATAATTGTAATTTTATTTTGAAATTATTATTCTTTTTGTACGATATATTAGAAAATATGAATTATATCTTTATTAAATAAAAGATTTATTGTTTAATATATGTCACTATTGTTATCCATATACAAATAAATGCATTTCGACTTCTTAAGCCCTCTAATTAAGTTATTGCGTACTTGCATCCTTGAGCTTTCGATCGATTTAACTATTCCCACATTGTAAAATCCTTGAATGGATTGATTCTCGAATCTTGTCATCTTCGAATTCTAGAGTGCTAATATAACTTTTAAATCCTTGGATTCTCGATTTTTCGACACAAATTTTCCATCTCGAATATCATTTTTTTTTAATTTCTGCATCGATTCCCGCTAATCTACTACTCACCATCATAATCTACTTCGACAATAAAACTTAATCGCGGATAGATCTCACAATCGTGATACGAATTAATATGTTTCGTCATTGACGATTCTCTTGGCTTTCTTCGATCGAATGATCTTTATTTGTTTTAGGTTTAACGCACCATGTGGTTCGCACCCTGGGGTCGTTGATATCATACGTGGAGGAGGGCACGAAGGCCAGAAAGACAGCCTCGACACTTCAGAACCCCAGTAGCAGTCGTAGCCACGCTCTGCTGACGGTCGACCTCTCGCAGGAGACAGCCGACGCCGAGCGTCCCAACAGCAGTGGTACTTCCTTGTCCTCCAGGAGGCAGGACGCCACTCCGCACGGCGGTAGCAGGTTACACCTAGTCGATCTGGCGGGCAGCGAGAGCGCGGCCACCTGCAGCGGCGTTCATCGACTGAAGGTGAGTCATTTCCTAAAAATAATATCGTCCGCCGGAATATTCGCCGGTTGAATTTCGCGCGATGAAAATCGATATTCGTCCGTTTCGCGGATGGATAGAACCCCGTTATCAATCTCGTCCTGGCCGCCGCGTCGCGCGCTAATAGACTCGCCTAATCGACCGTCGAAGTTACTCGCGAAAGTAACAAGCGTGAAAGACGAGCGCGAGGAAGTGTTGATGCAAATCTATAACTATTTTTTTAACGAAACGTTTTTATATTGACAAACTGAAGCTACTTGAATTCGTAATTATTAGAGTATAAGTGTTTAAAGAGGTTTCATGTGCATTCAGTGATACCTAGCACCTGTCTCCATTTTCACCGCGAGTTTTTTGTGTGATATATACGTATGAAAATGAATTTATTTTCGAAATGGATTTGGTGTATCAGATGAAAAGTATTGTGTAGATAAGAGACAAAATGTTAGTGTTCCATGCATTATGCACGTGCAATTTAGTCATTAATGTGATTGATCGATATTGATATGATCATGCCTTCTACGATAAGGAAAGAATCATCACGACGTAGTAAAAATTTAGGAATCATCGCTAATAGTATTTCACGTATGAAAGTCAAAGTATGTCTTCATTACTGAAAATTCTTTCGTTAAATTAAAAAAAATATAAGACAGTATCACAAACTAGTCGTCGCAATATTTGTCGTAATATTTATTTCGATAGCATATTGAAAGCAGACAATTATCGACATTAAAAATTTTTTTTAGGAAATTAAAGATATTAAATTAATATATTCAATAAAAATATCCAATAAGCCTAATAATTTTAATATTATTTTCGCGTTTTGTTGTTGTTTGTAGGAAGGTGCGAATATCAACAAAAGCTTGGTGGCTTTAGGGAACGTGATATCCGCACTCGCTGAGAGAGGCTCAACCGGAAGTAGGCCAGGAAGAAGATACATCCCTTACAGAGACTCTTCGCTCACTTGGCTGTTGAAGGATGCACTCGGCGGAAATGCCACCACCATTATGCTCGCCAGTAAGTGTCTGCCGGTATTTTCCTTTTGATCTTTCCCTTGCCGTCCTCCTAAACTCGTATTCACTCCCTTTTTCAACCTTCGCGATCTTAGAATGTTCCATTGACGTTAAAAGGTTTTCTTCCGAGAATATTCTACTGGTGCAAATCGCGTTTCGCCGTGTGTATTTTCGTGAGAAAATTATAAGTTCGCTTTTCCCCTCTTTTGATCTTGAACCTTCCATTTTAATATCCTTTCTGTTGCCAGAATGACGCATCGTTCTCGCGCGCAGATTGAAATCCAACGACTAATTCGACATTGCTTAATTGGCCTTTTTAGTACGAAACTTTCGTGTTAAAAGGGTTAATTACAATCGGCTGTTGTTAATCGATTGATTTCCTAAATTCACGTTCTTTTGCCTTTTCTCGTTAAAGATTATTTAACTCGTTCAGACATTTTCCTCCGAATTCAGATGTTTTCTTTTCATGATCGTTGGATTACGGCGAAAAGCCGGATATTTCTTTCCTTTCTTTGCAGCGGCAATTTCTCATTTTCCCATAAATTCCACTAGTTATTGGAGAAGAAATATTATCGCAAGATTTGTGAAATTATTCCCATTCGCGATAACCCGGGCTGGATGTAATTGGTTTAAATGCTTTTCCAGGCGAGCTAAGACGCGGAGATTAAATTTCAATAGAGCCGAGATAGAGAGACGCGAAAAGCGGTAAATAAGAAATCTGTAGTGAGCTTGCGACAGTAGCTACGTGATCGATCCATCGCCAGTATTCTTCCGACAGTATATGGTAGTCGTTATCGAATATGATTTAATATTTTCAATAATATAATATGAAAATTAATACTTTATATACATAAATATATGTATATATATTTATATAATCGGTTATAGCATAATGCGATTATAATACAATCACCTCTACAGATTTAATAAAAAATTATTAAGAGCCAATACGAGCAAGTTAAATTGATGAACGCTAGCAATGATTACTCGTATAAAATGTTTTCTGAACCATTAATTAATTAAACTATTAATTCAATTATAGAATAATACTTGAATATGTTCGAATTTGTGTACATTTTAGTTAATGCATTTTGAATAATATTGTTAACAGCTTTGTAGAAGGCATGTCAGAAATATTTAGGAACTTAATTTGACTTTTCTAGAGTAAACTGTTTATGACGGATTTATCTAAGTAGCGTGCGTCATCACCTTAGAAGGGTTTCGCCTGGTTATATTCGACTCTCTTTGATTGTACTAATTTGCACAACAGTTTTTCTTGAGGGAATAAATGTTATGCGAACTGAATAGAATATTAAGATCATCGTAAATGACAATTAAATTGCTAATTTAGAACAGGGAAACGCTATTTTTCCGTAGAAATCTATGGTAGTTAGATAAAGCACGTAGAGAAGATTGAGTTACACAGTACTAATAGATAAACCCTTATTCGAACCATATTTTTTTCGAAAAATTGATCTTCCCCTTAGATTAAAATCAAATCGGATTCAAATTTAAAATAACAATAAAAAACCGATAAAATACATAATTTACGGATTTTTACTTTGGAGATGGATATAAATGCTTGAATTTTCGAATATTTTCCTTAGGTTTATTTTTCTTAGATTGAATTCGTAACACAATTGCGTATTAAAAAATTGTAATTTTTAAGATACGTTATCATATTTGAAATCGTTGGTCGCGGAAAGAAAGATAAAATTTATACCTTCAATTTAACTGTTTACTTTGATTCGTTGATCGTCGCGATATTTTTTATCTCTTCTATCGTTCCGTGATAAACCAACGAAACTGACGTAATTGAGCCGACGGCGTAAAAGAGACCTTAATCAAGGGAAGGCGTGCCGATCTTCCCTCTTTCGACTCGTCACAATTAATTGCCGAAATGGAAGAGTCGATCTGTATAATTGGCCGGGAAACAACGGAGAGTTTTGCAAATACTTCTAGCCGGCCTGGCGACGTGTATAATTAATCGTAGCGGAATATTCCAAACCGCTGATCATCGGCAATTAATTGAATTGCTAATAGCATTTCGGTTTATTATCGGGGAGACGTTTAATATTCAACGGGTCCGCATTTGTGATTGAGCGTATAGTGCGTAGATGAATAGACATTACATTATCTCGCGGACAGCATACTCCGCCGCCGCGATGGTGGATTTTATACGTTGATTTCGCAGTACGACGTCCAGAAAAGTTGCCGTCCGTTTGAAAATTCATTTCAGATTATCGAACTCTCGGCGAGCCGTGAGTTATTCCGGTTGACTTGTCTACGCGGAGTTTCATTCCGTACATTTCCTCTCGATTAATTTTTGACAGACGCCTGCTGTTGGAAGTATTTGATTATCTGTATTTCTATGGATTTATGAATGCGGCGAATCTTATATAGATCTGTTTCCAAAGAGCATACAATATTGAAAAGAGTTTAGTACTAGCTACCAAATGTTTAATGAAATAATATCAATTAAATGTTCAGTCAATATAACTTATAATAATTATCGTTATTGCTTATATTAACTAAACATTTAATTGATATTATTTCACTAAACATTTGGCAATACTTACTAAATATTTAGGAAAGTAAAATAATTTTTAGTTATATTAACTAACATTTAATTGGTATCACTTCACATTTACTAAACATTTGGTAGCTATTATCAACTCTTTTATCAGTGAATAGAATATATTTCTATATTGAAAATGCACGTTCTCTTTAGTGAACGGAAAATATTTTGGACGATCTCAAAATCATCTTCGAATAGACAAATAGTATTTTGCGATGTTTCGCAATAGGCACGTTTAGTAGATATTATTCATAAAACAATCTTTCATTATCGATATCCAATCGCTGATGTACGATTGTACTTAGAATGCAAATGTGCCGCAGCTAGTATCAATCAGGAAATCGCACTGTAACGATTAAATAGTTGTAGTTGGAATGTACCATAATTTTATCATGTTTTCTCGGTGTTAATATGAGAATTAACTTTCTTTCAGCGATATCTCCGGCCAGCGGAAGTTACAACGAGACCGCGCACACCCTACGATTCGCGCAAAGGGCGCAGAGCGTGGTCAATCGACCAGTGGTCAACGAGGATCCCGTGGAGAGAATTATCCGTGAACTAAGGGCTGAAGTTGCCAGACTGAAATCTTTATTATTGGAAAAGGCAAGGAACTTACGGATATCTTACTCACACCGTTGGAAAATTCGTGTTTTTAACATTTCACGTATCCCAAACGGTCCACTCAAATTTATGTTAATTTAAGACAAAATGAATGTAAAAAGGATAATATAACAGAGATTTTTTATTGATGTAATTTTGATAAAATATCAATTATTTACACGTTACATGGCATTATTTCACAAATATCTTTTAACTCTTTTTTACAAATTATCTGTAGAGGTGTTATTTTAATTGAATAAAAATTAACACTACTTTCTCGTTTGTCTTCTGACGCGGTTGAAATGAAAAATTGAGCTTGGCGGAAGCGAGGCTGAAAACGCGAAAGGATTTAATCCTCGGCCTGATGTTGATCGAGCGACTTTATAACGTGGCCGGAGATTCGCATGCTGCCGGCAGAAAATATTAATGAGTTTCGAGCAGCGTGCGATCGGTAATAACGCGGCATTATAAAACAAATTTCGCAATTTTGCTCGACGTAGAACGCGCGAATCCGCGATAAATAGCAGTCGATTTTTCAGCCGCGTTTTAACTTGCGCGCGAGAGGGTGTGCGAGTTTATTATCGGGGTTTACCAATACGAGCGGTACCGCGATATTGTTCGATGTCATTACGCAAATGAGATTCATTGATCGTTTATTTGACACTTATTGAGCGCCCATTGCGAGCGATTGGCCGAACGATTGCTGATAAAATATAGCACGCCGATGTGTTACGCTTAACGAGCGAACAGCGTTTCCATTTCCATCAGGTAGTTTCCATCCTTCATTTCCGCACGTTGCATAATCGCCGATTAATTAAATTCCTCATACTTCGTCCACAATCGCTACTTCGTCGACTATCCATGAGTTTCCGCATCGTGTTTTAAATCCGAGATAAAATATTATTCATGGACAATAATAATTTCTTTTGAAAGATAGAATATCATAATTGTAATGTATATTGGAAATGGAAATATTGAAACAAAATCAAACGCTCCCCTTTTTCGTCAAATGTAGAAAGCAATTGTCAATTTAAGTTAATATGATTTAAATATTTAATTTTAAGCATCAATTTAAATGTTAATTAATTTTTAATTACATATTTTATAATTTTAGGAGTGAAAATTATTGCAAATTTTAATATATACATATATATATAATAAAAAATTAAAAAATATTAAGAGAAAAAATTTAAGAGATTATTTCAAATCAAAAATATTCATGAAAAAAGAGTATAGTTTAAAGTATATCTTGAATATGATGAAAAATTCCCAAATAGAAGTTTGCAGGAACATTGCTGCAACGTTGCAATATTACTGTAATTACTGCAACGTTAGGAATGTTGCTGTAATTATCTATGTTGTACGGGTTAGGTTACTACACAAATTAATAAAATATGTATCTTACTATTTAAATATATTATATATATATTATATTTTCATTCTCAATTTAAATTAAAACTAGTTATACGAATCTTATTGCAGGATATCGACCAGACTAAAGCGCCGTGTTGCTGCAACAAAGTTCAAAGTTCAAAGGATTCCGCGACAGATCCTCAGTATCGTGAAGAACAGGAATTGCTCAACACTTCGCAATTCGAGCAATCGAATCATAAAAATAAAACTGTACAATCGAAAGATAACAAAAATCTCGATACATTTCCGATAAGAAGATACAATTCCAGTGATAGTGTGACGACTTATGAGACGAGCTCTTCAGGGTCTATCAGAAAGTTCAACTCCTACGAGCATCTGCAACTTTCGGACCGCTTCATCAGCAATTATAACCAGGCCAAGGTTACTGAATTGAACGATGAAGATGACGAGGTGGTGAACGAGATCAAGGAACCTGTCTTTGTGGATATACCAACGCTGGTAGCTGTGTTGATCAAGCCAGACGACAACTTGCAAGAATCATCTACACAGATCGAAGAAATTTGCTCCGATGAAGTGCAAGAAGATTCGATTGATGCAGATTTTATAGAAGGCAGCAACGAGGATTTCGAGGGATCGGAAAGAATCGATGACGTCGATCCTGATGATCGCAGCAGTTCAGCGAATTCGTGCATCTTGAAAGACTCAGAAATCGGTGATATTCATCAGATTACCTCAGGATGCCCTCCAAGTCCGGTATCCGTTGGAAGAAGCAGACCGAGAGGTAAGTTCAGTAAGCAAAATTCGATCGATTTACCTTCGTCCAACTTGAACGTCTCGAAGAAGTTTGGCTCTATCGACGGGATTAACAAGAAGAAGGAACCAATTTTCGGTGTTCAGCGATCGCACACGAACTTAGAGAAACGCCCGACGCTATCCGAACGTGGGAAGAAGCTCAATAATATTCGCGAGATCGATGATCGCAAGGCAAATGTTAAGTCGAGTAACATTTGGAGAGCGATCGGCAGTAAAGATCATCTGCAGAGGAAGAGTAGCAACGAGTCTGATAAGAGTTTGAAAGACTCTATCAGTGGCAGAACAGGTAGCTATAATAGTATCGGCAGAAAGTCGAGTTTGGAAAGCTTGAAGAGAAAGACCAGCAAGGACAGTAGCTCAAGTAGCTCTAAAGACGAACAGATCTTGATCTCGAGTTTGACACGCGACAAGGTAGCGCGTAGAAAGAGCTCCTTGGATCAAGAAGCAGCAGCAGCAGCGGCAACAGCGGCGGGCGGTTTAAAGCATCACACAGTCATTCAGAAAGTGAAACGCGCCGAAATTGTGGCGGCTGTCACAGAAAGACTCTATTCCAGCAGAAAGAACACGGAAGAGACTAATATGGCGAGCAGCAATACACCGGGTATGCGTTCACCACCGGAGGGTATCGATGTGAAGATGCCAAACAGTCTCATAGCGCGATCAAGACTTCAGGAGATTTCGCGAAAGATGCTGTTGAAACGACGAAAGATCAATGTTGATACTCAGACGGAAACGGCGTCGACACTGCGCTTCAAGGATACAGCGAGCTTGACGGACCAACCTAAGGTGGTTCTCCAAGACGCAGCGGTTCTCACGGATGATCACGCGAACGGAGATGTCGCGATAGTTGCAATGGATCGTCGGTTACCTGTTCTTAGAGTAAAAGACATGGCAACACTGACGGATCGACGGCCGCCAACCAGCATCTTCCGCTGCAAGGATGCTGAAAGCTTAGCAACTGACCTGGACTTCGACGACTACGAACTCCACTCGCCGCGAAATGATTCTGGTATACTTTCCGACGACGCGCAGAATTACGCCGAAAGTAATCTATCCAGCGCTGATGTGTCCGAGCTTTACCCGGAAAGTGGTGACAAAAGAGTACCATGCGTGGATAATTCGACCAACACGTACCTCGCATCGCCGGGAAGGAATTCGGCGGTGCAAACGACGGTGCGACGTTTGGAATCAGCGAATCGGCTAAAAGATAATTCGGAGAATAGAAGCTATAGCGGATGCTGTAGTTTGATTCACGAGCTCAGTCAACACACACGAACTAATAATCCCGAAAAAAACGTTATCTCCATATCTCTACCAGAAATGATCAGTATAACTATTGAGAGCACAAATGGTCTAGAATCAAGAATCGCGGTGATAGACGGCAGTGATGCCGTGGAGGAGAAACCGAAACCCATTTCCAGCGACAAGGTAACACAAACGGATAAAGAGGTTAAAAATGAAACTGAAGGATCCTTTCTAAAGGATTTTACAGTCAAATCGACGGCCATTCAGACGGACGGCAGAGTTTTTAGAATCGAGAATATCTTTCAAGATCCGAAGAGCAAAAGCTGTAATGACGCGTCTGCCGATGTGAAGAAAGAGAATGCGATGAAGAAGTCGGTAACTTTTAGAAGTTCTTTAGGCACTTCTTCTGTCATCGAAACAAAAGAGAATGGCACAGAGACGGAACGGAATGGAATATACAATGGTGACGTTTGTCAGGAAACGTGGCCGATTCCGAAAGGTAGTTTAACACAGGCTTTCATCATTAAGAAACGTAGCTACAGTTTGAGTCCTAGAAAACCACATAGACTTGCCGATCATGATCTATGGAAAAACTGGACCCTTCCGTGTCTAGAAAGATCGAAATTTATCGATTACAACAGAGAGAGAAGAACTATACCATCATCTACGCAACAAGATATTAATTTAGAATTAGTTGATAATTTATTTTCTTCTATGATAAACAGCAAATGTTCTTTTGACGATATAATTCCAGAAGACACGGCTCAGAAATCATGTAATCAAGACTCGAAGGACAATTGCAAGAATTTGAAGAAATCAAAATCTATTACAATAAAGAACTTATTAAATTACGATCATAATTTTTCGGATGACAGTCTTGATTATGACGACGACAACGTTGCGAAAAAGACAACTGAGATAAAAACTATGGATGACGATAAAAATTATGAGAGCCTTTGTCCTCCGGATGTCGTTGCGCACACGAAGAAGGAAGCTTCGAAATCGATGAATCATGTAGATTCAATTGAGTCCTCGACATTAGTCGAGATAGCCAACGATTTTGATGATATTCAGATAGAGTTTCCAAAGAGAAAACCTGATGAAAAGAATTCACTGCAAGATTACAAGGCGTTGATCCTAGGAACATCATTACATATTGTAGACAGTGATTCCGAAGGAGAAGCGAAAACCAAACAGTTTGATAATACCAGCAAGAAAAAAGTGTCTTTTTCAAATCCCAGTAGTCTCGAGGAAATAACTGACGACGTAACTAATCGTAAAATTCTGGCACCAAAACAAAATTCAGAGATAGCCTTAAAGCCTATTATAAAGAAGGTGAAGAAGAAGAAGCCGGTTGTGACTGAAAGTTTGGATATCATTCGATCAAATGTTAAAATCGATCAGTCTTTACAGCAGAAAAAGATAGAATCGATGAAGAGCGAAGAGGTTCTGCCTGCTTCGAAAAAGAAGAATGATTCTGAGAACTCCGAAGAATCGCTTAACAACGAGAAGATGGAATTCTCCAACGAAGATCCTCGCAACGAAGTTATCGAAGATAGTGTCGTCATCGACAAAGACGCTCATTCTCGTACAGCATCGAAGAGAAATATTATTGAAGAATATCTGAATGAAGCAATAACTTTCATGCGCAACATGAACTCTATCAACGAGTACATGAGTGCCACAAACATGTTGGAGAACTATGGGAAGCGTCGCAGAAGACGAGGAAGTCGTCGTGGGAATAATTCGAGTATGGATAAAGATTATGTAGAATTTCGAGGATGCAAAGTGAGCCTGAAGGATGACACCGACAAATACTTGCTGCCGGACAACGATGAGATTGTTGCTATTGAATCTTACGTGAAATGTATGAAAGGCATCGAGAGATTGGAGGCATGCATCGATAATGTCAACAAGCATAATCAAGTCCTTCGAGACAGATATGGCATCGATGTTGAGTCTTCTGGCGCTAAATTGAGTTTAGCGAGTTCCAGTGTAGACTCTAAGGTGTCCAGCATCAGTGACGACGCTATCCATCAATGCGGGAACTTAATTTCCGAAAATGATGCTGAGAATTGCGATAAATCCAATCTTTCCAGGATTTCCTTACCACTTTTGTCTTCCACTCGAACTGACGTCGCGAAACGATTTACGTTAAATGAGACAGAAAAGTATCAAGCTGTTACTGAAATAGATAAACAGGATCTTGACGACAAGAACAACAATATTACTGAGGATGATCTCGAGCGTAAAATCTTCGATCAACTAATGCGCGCGGCCGATCTTAGTAAATGCTGGAGTCTGAAACAATCCCGACAGGAACGCCCCCGGAAAATATCCGATCTTAGATCGCAAAGCCCGACAACTTACTCCAAGTTACGAGGGACTTTCCAACAGGACGTTCATGGCATCCTTAATTTCGACGAAGTTTCCACCGCCGAGGATTATCTCGACCACATTCACGGAATCGAGAGTAGCCCCTGGACGTTTAGGAAAACGAAGCTATCGGATCAAACGAACGATATTAACTCGAGGACATCGATTGGTTTTGAAATTGATTCTGAAGCATTTTGCGGCGAATCAATTTCAAAATCGGAAGACAATGATAATTTGTCAGATATCGAGATGTCGAACAAATCGACGATTTTCCAAATAAAGCATCATAATTACCTAATAGGCCCTACAAAATCGATCGAAGTAGGACCGCCTCATACAGAAAAGGAGATTGCGCGGAAATCAAAAGATAGTTTAAGAACTGAGTTAATAAACTCCAGATTTGGAGATTCTTTTACAGTGGAATTGAAATATCCCGGTAGTCCAAGAGCAAAATTTTTGGAGCTTTTAAGAGAGAGGAGACGTATCGTAGAAAATAGCAGGGGTACGAATGCATTTTAAGATCGTTCAATCGATCTTTTTTCTTAAATTGTAAATCTATTTTTCACATATATTTTGTATTTTAACAATTATCATAGAGAGAGAGAGAGAGAGAGAGAGAGAGAGAGAGAGAGAAAATAATTATAGTAATCGGTTTAAATATAAAAATATGTTACGAGAAATTTGTAAATAATGACGTAATATTTGCGCGCGTTTCACATATGCTCTTAAATTTTATCAGTTTTTTAATTTAATAATTTACTTTTAATATGTAATTATAATAATAGTTGTATCGAATTGTATGCAAAGTATTAATGGATCTTGACTTCTATAGCAATACATATGATGTTTGTTCAATTTTTACATTTAATATTTAATTTTTTGTTATCAGTTTAATATTTGCAGATATCAAACTTTGCAAATTTTTCTAAAAATTTTAATTTAAAGGCCATTAACACTTTTCATAAATTATGATTATACATATAATAATTAAATTAACGATATCTTGTACATAATAATAAATAATAATATAATGTATATTATTTTCAAATTAATAATGCACGATTCCCAATTCTACAAATTTTTATACAACTTGTATCATAAAAATATCATAAAATGATTCAATTAATAATAAGCTAGAGTAACTTAATTTATAAGAATTTAAAAATCGTTAATCATCTTTATAAAAATATGTTAATATTACATACCATAAGATAATAAAAATATAATTATTGTATCATACATAAATACCATTTAATAAAGATTATTTTATGAAATAATAAATTTAATATTAAATTATTATCGGTTACGATAAAGAGAATAACAAATTCTATAAATATAACTATTCATTTTTTTTTGCTTTTAATTATTCTTTACTAATTTATTATTATTTTCTACTTATAATTCAATTAACATGAATTTATCAGTTTGTATGCATTTAATTTTATCTTCTTTATGGCAATCTTTTTTGATAAGTTCAAAATAAAGATCTGGACATCCAAGTGTATAATAAATTCGCCATTATATTTTATTCGGTACAATTTGATTTTATTTTTCGGAATAAACTTGCGAAATATGCCACAAACTCGTCGATTAATATCGTTATTCAACGACATGTGTAATGCACTGCGAATCTCATCGATAATAATTTTACGAGACAAAGAAGCTCGTATTTCGTGTCATGAAACGACAGTTAATAGCCAACGCGGGCCGCGTTGTTTCAGAAAAGAACTGACGCATGTGCTGCGATGCTGAATGTGCCGCGATTCCGACGCCGGCAATTGCGATCCTAATAATGTCGAGAGTAGAGCGAAATGCCACCAGTAGAGCGACAGCTTACAACGGCTGTTTCATTTTATTGCGTGATAAATCTCCGATATGCGAAAACTCCCAATGCACTCTGATTCTCCTATTGTGTGTCCATTTTCATTGAACCTTTCATTCAAAAGTAGATTTCATTTATAAAAATAATTTTTTTCTAGTCATTTTATCTCATCAAACACTTATTTTCTTAAATATATATATCAAATATTATATTTTTCAAGTAAATAAAGTTGTAACAGAGAAAGAAATGAAATTGAAGACAGCACTATAGTCTAAACCCATGCGATTAATTCTCATAAGACTGACAAAATTGAAATAATCATAAATGCAACGTTAATCAATAATTTTTCCCGTTTAATATAAGTTGAGAAATATACTTTTGTTATAGATTCTAAACCACGCTACTATTATAGCCAAAAAAGACTTATCTAATTTTACTGATTTAATTTTCAGAATGTTTCTAATCTTATAGTACAGTTTTTACAGCTCACGATCAGCCTTCTTTTATGCATGGACCACGTGATCAAACGTCAAGATCGTCAAAAGACTTCCTTACTCCGCAAAAATAACATGTCTCGTGACAGAGAAATGCGCAATATCATCGAAACACAGAGACCTAAAATTGTATATGGATCGCGAAGAGATGTAGAAGCTGATAATTGTGTTTCTAGGCCGTCGCTTCCGCCTCCACATCGATAAAGACCGATCGAATGCATTATGCGCGCGGCACGTTCAGAAAACTGCCGCCACATGTCCCGTTTTCCGCTCGTCGTATTCGTCTTTGATGCTGATGCAAGCATAACGATGCTCGTTTACCCCCACATATCGTATGTGCAGATAACACGGCAAAGCTAGCAGAAAGATACGCGATGATCGTAGTGAATTTACGCTAAAGGTGCCTCCAGATGATATGATCAATATATACACCAACTTTGCACACATTCGCTAAATTGGTATACATTCAATATGGATAATTATGTATGTCATGTGTGTGTGCATAGTATTTGCCAATGTTGGAACGTTGGCAATATCTGGAGGCGCCTTAAGTCGAGACTCGTACACCTTTTTCTATCTGCATTTTGCAATACGTGAGTTTACATTCGTTCACTTTATATTATACGCTCACGGTGTGAAATGTCTGTACGAATAAATCACGAATTTTCGATTTATTCGCTCGCTATTTTACAAGCATTGCATCGCGACGTTGCTTCACTGCCAAAGAATGTCGCGAAACGATCATCCGACGGTTCGTAAATATTGCAGATGCATTCACGTGTCTCCATCATGCGTAACTCAAGTGTCGCGTATCTGTGATGAGAAATAAACAGAAAATGTCTCGTAAAGGCATTCTTACAGATTATCAGGGTTGGGTAAGTTAATGTTTTTTTTTAACTGAATAACGTTAAAGTTAATGGCTTTACAAAATTAATAAAGTTAAGTTAAAAGTTGAAGGAATAAAAAATTAACTTGCCGAAAGTTAAGTTAATATTGAATTAACTTAAGTTAAAAAAAAGTTAGTTTCGAAAAAAATTATTTTTGAAGTCCAAAATATATCCTAATTTTTCTTAAAATGAAATTAAATAACAACTACAATATAGATTATTAAGTAAATTAAATTTTTAATTTTTTTATTCACATATGATGTAACATAATTTTTTGGTTTGTTACGTCGTGCAAAAATATCAAATTTTAGTAAAAACCTATGCATTTATAAAAATCTGCACTGTAATTTGAAGACCTAAAAGTTGTGGATAAAGAGTAAAAAAATATAGAAGAGATTTTAGTAAAAATTTGAAATTTGAAGAAATCAAGAAATTTGAAGGATAAAAGGTAAAACATTTTCACATTACCGGAGAATTAATATTAATTTTTCAGATTCTAATTAATTAATATAAATCGCAGTGTTTATTCTCTTCATTAATTTTTTTCTCTTGTTATAAATATCGCAGACAGATTAATTAATTATAGCTAAAGTAGAAACGCAGTTCTAAATAAATCAAGTATACTGTCATAAATCCTTGAAATCGCTGAGAACGATTTTATAATCGCGCAACGACGCATGTACATAGATGAATCACGTGCTTCTCGAGAACCCCTGATTAAAATAAGGCAATAAAGAGCGAGCAGCCAATGCTCGTTTCGTTGTCGCCATGAAGTTATAACATATAAATCCACGACTCGGTCATTCGATCGAACAAAATCCGTTGTTGATCCGGAATTTTATGCAACGATACTCGAGCACTCGCCACGTGGCGCGGCGTCGCCATGCTATTTTTCTCTCGCCGCGTTATACGTGGATATGATTGGGTTTTTGCGTAAGCTCGACCGGCCGTAAACTTCACTTTTACGAGTCTGATTATGGGGGTGGGATGGGGGATACCGATATTGCGCTAGTTCGCGTCAACGTCGACGAGCTGCATTCCGAATGAAATTCTGACGCGATACGTGGTAACGATCAACAACGCGATCAACGACGCAGCAATTAGTTCGATTAACGCATCGCGATTTTATCAAATAGATCTAGCCTGATCTAGCCGCGAAATCCATATGTGACTCTATTTCAATTGATGGTCACATGTTATTTGATGAAATATTAAATAATTGCAAGGGAGGGACGATCCAACTGTCTAATACATAATGGAGATACAATGCAATATTTGGATTGAAAATAACATGAAGTTTTTTAATGTAATATAATCATTTTGTATGTTATGTAATTAGAAAGTGATATAATTATTTTTTTGGCATAATATAATCCATAATGCAATATAATTGGAAAACAGCGACAAGTCTATTTTTGCTGTAATGGTTGTTTATAATCCATTACTGAAATTATGTTCCTCAATTTTTAACAAAAACAGGCAAATTTATTTTTGATTTACATTTATGATTATTTTAATTTGAATTCTGGTTATTCAAAATTATAAAGTGTACTCGCTACAAGTTAAAACATAAGATGAGATACAAAGAAAAGCATAGGGAAAATAAAATTATAGAATAGTTACAGAATATTTCAGAGATAAGATCTTTTCATAAGTTTTCGTTTACAAGAAAATCGATATTGAAAACTCGAGCATTAATAACATTATAATAATTTTTAAAAATTTAAATAAATTTCAACGACCTTGCGTCAAATTTTTGTCTAAGCAATTATCAAAACATATATAAAAATACAATATTCCATCACAGACATAATAGTAATCGATATTTTATACGTATAACTTTTTCAATAAGTCAAGTTTTAAAAAAACTTACATCACTAAAAATACTATGTGATGCTTTTCATTTACGTGATAATAATCGTTGTCAAGACGACCTCGATGATGTACGATATAGTCATTGCATATACATGCACACATGCACGTAGAACACAAGAGTCCATCGATTCCCGAGCACCCTGCGGCAGAGATGACTAGAGCGCGAACTGTGGGTAAAGAGAATGAGGAGGATGGAAGCTGGCGGTCTGAATTTACAGCGTTTAATATTGGTAAAATGAAGTACGACCGCGGGAGGAGAGCGAGTAAGGAGCCGCCGTTTTGCGGCATCGATAAATTCATTTTATTGCCGTGGTTTGTAGGCGGGGGGTCTAACTTCGACCACCGCCTGCCGATGTGCCCGCGCGTATCTATCAAGGTCTTTTCCAACGTATCACCAGAGAGAAACCTGAGAGAAGACATGAGGGCTTTTTTCCTGCAACCGCAAAATGCTCCCGCGCACTATTGCCTTTTGAAGAAGTGGATGT